TACTACCTATTTTGAAAAGCTAGTCAATTCTAGATAAAGATATCCCTTGCAAATGTGTGGGAAAACAATAAACACTTTAGCAAAATACATTCATACATCATTCATACTAAATATGGCAACTAAGGTTATGTGACTAATAGACGATGACAGGCCCGTGTCTATTTGTTACCATAGGGGCTGCTAACCGGGCCAATATGACCTATGTACGGCAACATGATCTATTCTCCGCAAAATTGACCCTGGATATTCCTTTGCGGCAGGTCGAAAAGGCCCCCTCGTACAAGGGACCGTTGTTGTTGTTGTTGTGGAAATTCGTAGCGAAAAGCAGTGCGAACGTGGCGTGTGTGATACATCACCCAGAGACCACCCCCCCATCCAAAATGTCTTTGACATCTTTGTCATCCTGTCAGAACTTGCAATAGACTATCCAATGTGACAACAAAGAAGGTAATAAAGATACGTGTACTATTATCACGCCTTCAAAGGGCAACGGTCCCCTGCGCAACAATGGTCTTCCTCTCGTAAGTGTTTATGTAGAAGACAATGACTATTCGAATTTTCACCGTGCACAGACTTGATCGATGAACTTATGCTTGCTAACTTCAGCTGATTGCGAACGATTGAATCTAATGGGCGTGTGTATCAAGTAGGTGCCTTCAAATCATCCAGACTAGTCTCACTTCAATTTATATTAAAAAAGATGACCGAATCCGGAAACCTGTTGACGATTTCGACAGGCCTATACTTTTCGGAAGTGTTCAGTTTAACGACGCCACTTAAAATTACCATATTCATAATAGGCTGCCTTCATTGAACGGCATTCTCGAGAGAAGGGATAAATTTAGTCTTTCGAATGACGAGCCTTAACTAGTCAGGTAGTACCAACACAAATTCAACTCATAATCACAACTTTTAGACTTTGCCAATAGAAAACTTAAATTTAGATAAAACAATAGATTACTTTTATTTTCCTATAATGGCTGTAAATGAAATAACATATAACTACTAACATCGAACGCGCTTTGTTTAGATACGACGATAAAGCTGGTTCACAAAATAGGCGGAGATACTTGTCCTGCACTGAAGCATTTTCACCGATCTTATCGATCGTATCTCCCAGCTGCCGTCGTCGTTCAAGCGGCCTAATTATCCTTCGCTTTTTGAGCTAGCACCTATTTATATACCCAACCCGTTGTAAATAGGATAGTTTTGCCTAACAGGCCGTGTTCGTTCCGTCGAGGTTTGACATACATGCCCATTCCGCCTTCCCCTAGTGCTGGTACTACTCGTCGAGAGGAAGTTGACCTCGTGATCAAGAGTTTTTGAATAGGTGAACAGGATTAGCTCTTTAAGATGCCCGCCTGTACAATATTTGTCAAAAATACTATTGAATTATTTCGTTATGTCTGAAATTTTAGTCCACACACACCGAGGGGGTTCTGCCGGATCATCGCCGGTAGCAAAAATGCAACGAATATCTCCGTCCTTTGACCACTAAAGCACAACAAGGTATGTAATTATTGACTGCCGCGGTACGCACTATTATCTCCGCTTGCAGAGGTTCACGGAGAAAGCGAACCTTGAATATGGTTAGATAAAGAAAAAAGATGGCTTTCCTATATTTTAGATCTGATTATTTGGTGTCTTTATTTTCAACGATTACGTGACTATGAAACGGCATCTGCATACATGCTATATTTCCTGGTGAAACATATTTACGTTGTTGGGGCTATAATTGGGTATCACAGGTATTCATGCACTGTATCACAGTTGATTCCCGGGGCTTATTATGTAAACACAAACAAAATCCTGCCGGAAAAGAAAAACGGCAACCGCTTATGAACTTTTCTGGTGGTCGTATTTTTAGATAAGCTCGTCAGTGCCTCTTTACTGTGTATGTTATGACGGGGGGGCGTTCAATCTCAGGTGTCTATATATAGCACTATATCTATTTCAAGCAGCAGCATTAACATTCGCTCTATTAGCATGTAGAATAAATTTAAGGTTTACACTTAACTTACGCCCTACTGGCCTCATGTATCAGGCCTTACTAGTGATCAGCGGCGTACAGAATTCTCTGTGGTATCCAGGTAGCCTGATTGAAATTTCATGCTCATTGATTGTAGGGGCAACGGTGGAGGATGTGCGGTGATACGGTGTGGGCTGATTGGGTTAGACCCACCGGCAGATGAATGTGCTCTTTTGCGCGTTGCGCGGCCTCATATCTTACCAAAGCCCAGACAACGTTTCTGCTTTTATCGTTAGGTGTAAGCTTTTAGGTATCGCTTTTGTACTCGATCCATTGGCTTTGAATTCGTTAGCTTCCATCATCACACCTATCATGCCGGCACCAGATGACGTGTCGTTTTTTCCGTTATCCTTATCGTCTGCGGCCATCATTTGAGCCACTATCATTTGATTTGAGTTCCATTCGATCATTACCACCTGCTAGACCATTTGCTATGGTTGGCATCATGGTGCTTACCACGTTGGCTGTTATCATAGCAGGTGTCAAGGTGATAGTTGAAATCATTGTTACAGGCGTTGCCATTATCATCATCATGGAAAGTTTCATATCGTGCCACAAGGTCCATTCCAGCCGGTAGCATCACCATCATTTCCGATGACGGAGGCTATAGGCAGCACGCAATGCCAAAATGAAAATACATTTCGTTACGTTTTAACTTAGATTTCAAATAACGATCGACGTAAATTAAGTTGCACTGCTAGAAGACTAGCTCGGGTTCGTGTTCAACGTAGGAATGAATATGACTGGAGTACAAAGCATCTAAACTTCTTGCTGCTGGAGGATCCCACGTTTGCACACAACTGCACTTTTTGCGTTGGTATCCTTTTGCATAACACTAAATTACTGACAGCTTGTTGACTTTGGACAGTAGTCTTTTCATGAGGAGAAAAGTCATAGCGCCTTTTTCGGATTTCTTAGGTGCGACGGTTAAGGGCGCCATTAAAGCGGTAAGAAAAACAATCAGGAAAAAAAGCACCGCATCTTGTAGAGATTAATTGGTTCCTGCGTGAAAAATTTTACAGGGTTTTTATACACACACACACACACACACACACACACACACACTCGCACAAACCCAGATACTAAACAACGAATCTTTTTTACCGGCACCGCCTTAGCGCCAACGTAGCGTCCGACTGAATGGCTACAGTTAATTGACCCCTGTACTCGTTTAAATACTCGATTGGTTGCGAGCTGCGAAGCGCTTTCGATGGCACCCGGAAGAGGAATATGGAAAAAAATCGGCGAGGGAAACGTAAAATCGATGATTCGCCCTGCTTAGTTGATCAGAGCATCGAATACGTTGAAGAGACGTGTGCGCTTTTCGGAAAATGAACCTTACGTATCCACAAGGTGCGCAAATAGTTCGTAGAATAGAAGAAGAATGCAGCGTTAAGTCAGAGGGAATTCCTGATCTAAATTTGCAGCGTATAAATCCACACAACGTGTGTGACAGCAAAGGAAAACTTACAACAACCGTTGTATTACCCCTCAACATTAAACTTCAAGTTGAATATTGATTGTTCCGTCCCTATAATTTTGCACGCATTCATCGTTATTAGGGCTATGAGTGTGTCCTCGCAACTGGACCCTATGCCCTTATGTCCGACGCAAAGCGTTTCGAATAGAAGACAGCGTTGAAGCGGTCATTAACTTGTACAGTAAAATGGTCCCCAAATGATCAATGTATCTTTATCCCATACCTTTAGATGTAGGTACGTGTCAAGGTGGACTTGAACGTGAACATAGCAAGCATATGAAGTGTTCATAGAGGACATGTATTTGGCGTTCGATTTTGTACAAGTTTTCTATAAAAAGTAGTAAATTAAACTCAACTCAAACTTTGCGCCTAGAGGGCTGCAGTGCATATGGTCTGATGCATGCTGCACAATTTTCTAGCTTTCAATGCAAGGCCTGGATTACGAGTAGGATTAGTATACTGTAATTATTATAGCGAAACATTACGTTCCAACGTTATTTATAATGCCACTGTTTGAGGTTCATCATTAGCTCGCCTTGCACAGATGTGAGCGTATTGCTGATGAGTAAAGTATGAAAGTTACACTGATAATCAAGCCATCTTACAAACGTCCAATCGTATATTGTGTTTCCCTATATGTAATGGTTTATGTTTCTCGAAAACACGGTTTCTGTGATGATTTGCATTAGGAGTATATGTAATACAAATAAAACTATGGGGTGCAGTAACGTCACTTGTCTGGCCGCATTCAACCAGGGATCAGTCGTTACGCAATGCACGTAGCTGAGTTTCTATCAAACAAAGAAGTTCCGACACGTGTACGTAGGCGTCCAAACGAATAATTGATAAAATTAAACAGGTATGTTTCTTCGGGCTAACGTCAAGTCTTGTCTACTGGTTCAACTTCCAACCAGTGCTTAAATGCCACGTACGTAGCATAAACGTGCCATCGACGCTATAGATTGCGCGGTTAAGAAATGCTGTCGCTAATAGCGACGTAGTACGGACGCTTCCTTGCGCGCAGGGTTTCTTCGTCCTTCGAAAACGACGCGTTACCATCGAATGCCGTCATCCATCCCTTAATGTGTTTTCATTTTTTTTTTTAAATAAAACCAGAGCTTTGGTGTGTTATTTCAACGCATCTATGATTGACACTTTAACGCTAGTTGGATGTTAATCAGGCTTTCTCCATGAACCCAGACGGACACTTTACTTGGGCTGGTCTAACGTAGCCATTCCTCGAGTCGTGCTTGCCGAATACCACTATGGCCCCCGTTGGGCAACCAAGCTTTGGCAGTTTCGTCGTGATGCCTCTTACTTTTCGCTGCAGATCATGTAGTTTTTGGAGCTTTCCCTCGACTGCATCAGACGATTCCAAGCTGGATTCGCTGCTTCCCTTTAACATGGATGGACTAATATATGTCTATATAAAGCGAATCAAGATTTCTGGATCTGTAGTCAGTATAGTGACAGATCAGCACAGTGGCAAAAGCTGTTCGTAGAAAACTTCAGGCTCCCTGAAGTACTGTCCTCGTTCGTCGTGCTCGTTGTGTAATCTGATTGCTCGTTTACGCCATGAAGTTCTTGACTGTTGTTACATTGGCCGTGTTTACCACTTGTGTAATCGATGGATTCCTAGTCAAAAAACTTAAAGAAAAAAAAGAAGACCAAAAGGCCAAGGTTCGTGCAGATACCGTACCCTGTAGGAATCGGTAATTATATTGCTGTTGCCCGTAGTGTTTAGACTGCGACTTGGGAGTCGGATGTGCAAATGTAATACTAATATATAATCCGGTACTAAATTCTAATTTTTATTCAGTCTAATTCCCCAAGGAACGGCAAGAATTTAGAACTCACTTTTACGCACCGATGTTTGTCAGCCTTTTTCTCTTTTATTCTTATGGTGTCCCATTTGCAGAAGCTTAGCATACAGCCAGTGATCATGCCGCTGATCGTCGACCACCATGCACCCGTGTATGTGCCCCCTCCGCCCATACCAGCACCCGTTGTGGTCGCACAGCCGCCCGCACGAGTGATCGTAGCTCCTCAGCCTCCTGCTCCCATCGTGATCAACCGCCCACCCGTCGCGCCCTTTGTTCACGCACCGGTCGTAGCTCCACCCGTAGTTGCACCGGTGGGAGCTTTGCCACCTGTACCACTTGCTCACCCCGCAGCAGCACCTGCATTAATTTTGCCCCATGGCCCAAAATTGGGATAATCTTGTCGCCATATAGTGGCATGTATTAATCAAAGTTCAATCAAGAAATAGATTGCCCGGATATCCACATCTATGACCATTTGTCCGTTGGCAACGCTTGACCTCTAGTTAGCAGTAAACTAGTTTCCGCCAATTTCGCCTAGTCCGTACGCCTAGCTGCATCGATATTATGGTTTACCCTTCTATGAAATAGACTGTGCCATATGTTGACATTCGGTAGCGTTCTGCGTAAAAGATATAGCAGGAAGTACTGTTTACGTGTATCTAGTCCTCAGTCTCTTATTTGTCTGTACATTGCTGTATATATGTTACATGTCACTTTAAATAGCGTTTTTAGATGTTCGTGCCGTACATAAAAAACCGAAAAAATCTGTGCTTGTGATCTATATATCAATAGCCCATGAGAACTTGTGAGTTTGTATAAATAAATCCTGTGTCATCGATTAGCCCAGTGGTTTTGGTTTAGCTCGCTAAGCGTGTGTAAAAGGTTTCTCAGAAACAGAGTCGAATTATTATTAAATGGCATATTTACGTTACAAGAGCTATAATGGAGCACATTTAATATATATACGTACAGAGAGAGAGAGGAGAGAGAACTTTGCTATGAGAGGCTTCAGAATCGAGCAGGTGTTCTATTAAACCTAAATGGCTTCTATATTGGGTCCGTTATCTTTTTTTTAATGAAAGTCCTTATTTATTTATTAAAGTGTACAGTGTAATAGCCGACATGATAATCCACCACGGTTTTGCGCCGTATAATGGTACAGACGTGTTGAACTTATCACTCAGATGGTTTAAAATAACTTTTCTATATTTCATTATATGTATTTGAATAAATATGTAAATCTTTTTTTGCCAAAGATGTATTTTTGCCTTCGAACAAACTAAGAGAGTTGATGCTCAGTGTTTAAACTATAGAAAAGAGAAGGTTTTTGCTACAGCACTTTGAACGGGCAGGGATTGTTCGTCGACAAAGGATAGGACTAACCTCAAGGCTTTACCTAATTATGTTTGATTATAAAACAACGTCTATATATAGGACATAATTTAATCGAAAACGGACAATACAGCATACTCAGCATTTTCTCCGTGATAATAATTTAAACGATGTGAATCAATGTATTTTTGTATATAATATAGTAAAACCTGACCAACGACATCTATCCCTTTGATTTTTTTTTCTGTTCAGACAACCGGCCCTCTTTCGCCCCCTTGTAGTAATGCTTAAAGGAACCGTCTGTACACGACGTTCTATGGCAGGCAATCTGGAAAGAGAGATTAAAAGAAGAAATGACAATATTTACCGCTTTTTGGCTCGATTACACGGGTTTTTAGACGCCCGAATTCGAACCTAGAATAACTTTGTGTGCCCCCGGTCAGAAGGCAGCCGAGTTACTATTGCATCATCCTGGGGGACATGCTCAAGTATATGCCTATTGTAGCGAATGCAAATAATGCGCCATTTGTGAAGATCTTGTCGATAAATAAATTCGATTTATTTAAAAAATACAGCTTATCATCTCATAATTAGATCATTCATAGGTTTTTCGTCACAAAAAGCATCTGTACTGCACGAAAAAATATCCGAATATATAAATTAAACACTTTAGAGTGAAATTATGTTTTTATCTTTCATTAAGGAAAAGTTAAATATCATGTACAGATCAGTAACGTTTCACAATTTCATAATTTAGTTACTCTTGATTTAATCATATGCGTCACAAAGTCATAGGAGAGAACAAGATCTTGTCAAGGAATGACAAGGAACTTATGTACAATCGACAAATGCGCTGAGTATGATAATTTTTTATAATATTTTATGTTGACAACACATAAATGCTACACAATTTTCCAATGCGATCATTGGTTTATATCCGTGTGTGTTATATATATATATATATATAACAGATCACTAGAACTTCTCGCGTAGTTTTTTTCACAAAGGCAGCATTTAATAGATAAATAGATATTATCAATGAGGGCATGGTGTTCCGGCAGGTTTTTGTAAATGATTCCAGGTTACCTAAAAATGACTAAAATGTGCAACAACTCTTTTCTATGCTATAATACTATTCTATGTCAATTATTTCATTTTCAATTCCGAAGTATAACGACTCACGACAAAAGCCACGTCACGTTCGTAATTCGTAAGAAACGTCTCATTTACATAGGGATTGTAAGGAAGATGCTCCAATGGCCTTAAAGCTGTCCTAGTTCGTGGAAGCCAATGTGTCGACCCATGTCAAATTCGTCTATGTGGTGAGGCCTATCATACACAACGACCGTGCTCTTTTCGATCGGGGCGAGTTGCGGCACCATAGGCGAACCCAATACAGGCATTGGCATCATGACCATCATTGGCTTCTTTTCAGATTTCTTCGATTGAAGCGCTTCGTACAGGACAAAATCGACAGCAGCCTTCTTAGCCTTCTTCAGTAGAAATGCGTGCGATAAATCGGACAAAATCACTGTAGACAAAACCAGTCCGGCTAAAAGCAGTGACATCTTGGCCTGTGAACTGCGGCAGATTCGATGCTCTCTAGAGTTGAAAAACATTTTTTTTTTGGAGTCTGATGCTATGGGCTGAATTACTCGCGAATGTTGCACAGCAGAAGATCAGATTTCTGATGGATGGCTTTTCTACTGACCCGCTAAATATCTGAATCCTTTACGGTGGCATTGAATAGTGGAAGGGGGCAACAGGCCTTCTGCGGGGGAAAACGCTGGCCCTTGAGCTAACAGTGCGTAAATGCTATTCACCCATGACTAGATGGATTGCTGTAGAATATCAGAATTCCCTACAAGTATCTAACAAGCTTAATCAACTGGTATTTGTTGGCTACCAGAGGTCACCACTGAAATTTCACAGATAAATGACCCAAGTGCTAAGTACAACTACTATTCATTGAGACTTGTCCATAACTTAGCCTTTTGGGTTATAGGACAACAGCGGCAAAACCTCTGCTGAGCAGGAAATATGAGAACATAAAATCACTCACAAAAAAATCGTACGTGCATCAGAACGATAGTGCTGCGATTTAGACAACGATTAGGCACGCCAACTCCTACAAGCGCATAGAATAGAATCAATGGTACGATACGTTTGGATAGAACGCCATATTTGTCCGAAAATGGCCGACCGCTGAAAGTGAAGAATGCGCGTCCACGACCAGCAGACAGGGCGCGGTACAATTCCGTTTTCCATATGGTAAACGAACCGTTATCATGCAGTTACAATTGACTACTTTGACGGTGGCAGGTACGTTCCGTCTTGCATAGGCAAAACTAACTTTCCGATGAATGAAAAGTAAAATGGCCAATAAATTTTATTAAAAGAACGTCGCATTCAATTTAATATCTTTCTAGCTGTGCAGTAAATCAACTGCTTCATAAGTGTTAGCTTGTAGAATAAATAGTAACATGTGTGGAAATATATTGTTGCCTAATATAGAATTGGTCTGAGTTCTACGTCCACTCCCAATTCTAGGCATTGCTTCAAACCAATAGCCCGCAGCCTGAAACAAAGTACGTACGACCGATTTTCGACCTAAACATCCTTAAGCGTCCCTAAGTTTAGTGAGTTAGTGCATTACGACTATGACGTATGACGGGGGCCTTACTTTAGTTTAAACGTTCACCAATTTATATATGTCGATTTCGTTGCTTAACATTTACCAAAATCAATTGATACATTTACGTATAGCGACTTTTATACGAACCGTTATTGTCATTGAAACAAAATCAATAAATTGCTGCTTAAAGAAGCCGCTAGCCTGATGGGAAATTAGGTATCACTGACACAATTTGCTTACGTTTCCCTTGAAACATGAAATTCTAATGTGATCTAATCAAGAGATAGAAAAAGGAGGCTTTCACTGTATTGCGGCATTAGGTCAAGCCAGTAAATTATGGCCGAGTGTCATCTTCATGTTTAGGTATTGGGGGAAAAATTGCGGCAGTGACGATTTCCTAGTCCTTGTAAAATTGAATCGCTCACTTTCCCGGTTGCATAGAAGGCTCACAGCCACATCTAAACCTAGAAAAATAATATCAACAAACCCAACTAAAAAACAATAAATCTACGAACGAACGGCTATGGCTTTGTACTAATTCGGGTTAATTACAAACTAGGCATACGATGAAAGATTGGAGAATAAATAGGCCAGAGAACCGCAACAGTTTTGCTGCATAGTCCTGAGAACATAGGAGAAGGGAGACCCTGTCATTACGTTACTAAATACAGCCAACAACAACTTCTTGTTCGGCTTTTAACGCAAAATGGCAGCAACCTCTACATCTGTTGTTGAAAACGTATTCATCAACTGCGATCATATGCTACTATCTATCATACATAACACCAAACATCATGAACCGCATCTATATGGGACACAGTTACGTAAGATACACATCGTCGTAAACCCTATCAGGTAAGCAATAAGTGCTAACATCAGCTTACCCATTACACATGACAGGGAGCAGGTCCATGCGGTGGGGAGCGCCTTCAATGATGATGATGATGATATTTTGTTTTACAGGACCAAGGGCGGGCGCAGGTGTTGGAGGCGGCACGGGCATCATTGTCTTCGGCTCAAGTTTTTTTTCTTAGGTTCCTTTGGTTGAAGTGCTTTAAATAGGCCAGTCGTCTTTTTGAGAACTCTTGGACAAGCTTAGAAATAAAATGGCCGCCAAATTTAGCGGCAGCCGAGACGCGATCCAAGTAGATCGTGTACACAAGCCATAGGACAACATCTCAGCTGTGTTATCAGTGTGAATGGACGTCTGCTAATCAGCACTGTTGGGCTATTCATGTGAAACTTGTACATATATAAAAAGCCGTATTCAATGAGCCATCAAGGAGCCAATGGCTTTAACCTTAAAGCTTTAAGTATGACTAGAATTTCTGGAAAAAGCGTCAATTTTGTTTACAATTTCTGCGATGCGCAGAAATCGTAGCTTTATAAGCAGCAACCGATGAATAAGAATACGATCATTGTCAACATTATAATATGGGTAAGCTTGCGGTTGATGCTAAGCAAACGAGCGAAATACGTACGGCTTTAAAAGTCGTTTGTCGTTCTACTGCACATAAAGTTTTCGCTTTTTGAGATATAGTGAAAGATAACTCCCATTTCAATTGTCATATTATAGCAATGAAAGGTAAGCGGTTGTGTTGGATATTAGGAAGTTCAATTGAAAATTCAGCACGAAACCCTAAATGTAGATGCACCCTTATTATACATTTCTATCTCCCTGGAAAAATGTTTGCAAATAGATGCTATAAAAATCAAGCAACTTTGAAAAGTTGCAAGTTCCTCACGAACTGATTGGGCTTTATTATAGGTAACCTGATAAATAAAATACAGTAACTAAACGAGGTGGTTTAAGAGTCGTAAGCTACCAATTCAGAGCTGATATACCACTTTGTCTAACAATAAATGAACCATTTTAGGTTTTGCCTTATCGATAATCGCCGATGATTCACGTTCTTGGCAAGAAACAGGGTTTCTGCTACGCATAGATAACATTTTTATTACAGTCTATTGCAATCTTGAGCTTTCTACTCGGATAGCGTGAGTCTATGTATTAAGCTCATTGTGAGTTTTGCCAAAAGTTCTAGCACAAGATTAGAAAATAAAATCAATCGCATAAGCATTTTGCGTACGTTGCGGAATGCCCTTGGAAGACAGACACTGGCTAAACACAGTAAAACACAGAAATTAACAGATGGTTCAAACGTTTCGAAGACTCAAAGTCCATCAAAGATGGTCGCTAGGTTCGAAGGTCTGTGACAGCAATCACGAACGAGAACCCGCTGCTACTCATGCTTCTTTTCGACCATCGTTCGTCATAAGTTCCTGTCGTCTAGCTGCCAAGAAGATCTCCAAGGACTACTAGAAAATAATTTTAAGAAGGCTATGCAAGTATGTTTAACGTGGGAGAACAGAACGTGTGGCACGACAAGACCTACTACAACAATGTACCCGTCCACACTTTAGAGAAGTCGCCCAAATTTTTTAGTAAAAATTTCGACATGTGTATATGTGTGTGAAGGTATTGCTCGCACCCCCGTATTTACCAGACCTAGCCTCCAGCGACTTTCTCCTATTTCAAAAACTAAAGAAACGTGTGGAAAAGAAGCGCTCCGGGACGATGGAAGAAATAATAAAAAAAAATCGCCGACCCGAAAATCGAATTTGAAAAATGTTTCGAAGATTGAAGAAAGCGGTAGCTTAAGTGTTGCATCGGTCGAAAATTGATTTGGAGGAAACTACCCAAATTGGTACTATTAAACAAACGCTTATCAAAGCCAATCATTATGATACTTCCTGTCGATAGGTCAGACGCATAATTCTAGATAAATACGATATTTGTCTAAATTTAGTTGTTAGTCAGCATTTAGTATTAGCGTTGGTACGAAGCATCGCTGCTTCCCTCGGCCCCTCGGGTGGTGCATAAATGGAATGATTGCCATTTCTTAAAGCCATTCTCGAGTTAATTTTATTCGAGTGCCCTCTTTAGTACGAAGAGGAACGTGTAGTTACAAAGGCTCAAGCCTGTGGACTACAAAACAGTTTCAGCCTTGTAGTTCCCTCGTAGAAATTTGATAACGAATAGGCACTTTAGCCGACAGGCAATTATTATGTGCTTATTTTCGGTATGGTAAAGAAACCATTGAAAAACATAGTGATTAAATTTCTTAATTTACCCTGACAATCTTTGTTCTAAAAGTCTGTGTTAAAAAAATGTCGATTTATTAACTTTGATCTTCCTGCGCCCTGTTGGCAAAGTTGGAACAGTTAAAAAAAAAACCTCCAACTTTAAAGCAAACGTTCTAATATACGAACGCATGTTTGGATATCCAAAAAATAATCAAATGTGTATAATTTTGTCGAAAATGGCTTTGTATATTTTTGGGCCTAAGCTTACCTTGGCAATGGGAATCATCACAACAATTGGACTTTGCTAACTATCACAGTAAAGTGGGTTAATTATAGTTCATAGGTAAATCAGTTGTAGAAGATTTTAACATTAACTACCTTATCGACTTCTTCCTAATGAACGTGACCACTTTGTTTAACCTGTTAGCAAGAGAAAGAAACGAATCCACGATCCGTGGATCAAAAAAGTAACAGGATGCTTTTAGCCTTCCGACATTTCTAACTGAAGTTGTTTCTGTACGGTATGTGGGATCATCTTCTCGTCTGTTTCCAGTGTGTTTTATGAACGCAGCCGAAAAATACCCATTTTGTCCGGCACTAAATTATCCAGGTACGATTCAGTTTTGTATTAAGAGACCCTAGTACGGGCTATGCCATGTAGTTCTTAATGAAGCCGCTATTTAATTCCGTTTCGCTCACTTCGAAGTAATGAAACAACTGAAAATTCGATACTTGAACAAAGATCGAATTTTCAGATGCGATCAAGATTTATGCCTTTTTTATGTCTTACTAAAACAAGTCAATGTAAGCACTTCGGTATATACCGACCTGGATGGATGAACAGTATTGTACATAGCGGAAATTCTCTAAAAAAATAGTGGAAATTGTCGAGAGGAGATCTAACTAGCACTTTTTCAAGGTTATACAATAAGATGATCTGAATGGTTGGAACAATTTTTGCTGTGCATGCAAATTTTTTGTCACAAAACCATAATTAAAACAAATTTATAATTTATTTATCATTTGTTCATAATATGTACAACACAGACATAGGTGTTATCACTAATACACATCAGTAAACGCGTCGGGCACTGTTTGCGTTTCTCGTTGCAGACATATAACCCACGCCACGCTGACAGCACAAGGTAGTAGCACGCTTGGTACACCTGTCGACAGTTTTGGCATGACATAATCCGTGTTCGCCTATAATATGGTAGGAAACCTATCTGCCGGTGTCAGTAGGGGCATTTCCATGTTCGACATAACCTGATTCCATCTGCGTATCTAATAGTGTAGTTCTGAAATGATTTTAATCTGGGGATCTACCGTTTGTTGTCTACAATCTACCATCTATAAAGGTTTCGGTACTCATTGGTAGGCAAAGTGCATAAACACTATATACTTATAGGCGACATTGAATTACTACATATCGGTGTATGCACTGAGGTATCGTTTCGATAGGTGTAGACAGAGCCAACGATTATGCGTTAAGATATTAGAAATCTATTGATTACCTGCTACGCATTTCCACTTGACGCTTTAAATAAAAGGAAGCGCGTAGAGCAATCGACTTTTCTCTAAGTAGCAAGTTTATCTAGTGTATGTGAATATTGCGGGGAATAGCGCGCAGACGTCTGTGTTCAAGGGCATGTACAGCGGCTAGTACTTGCTGATCAGAGGGCTCCGACGGCAGTTGCGACGGCATCATCATTTGACCATTGACTGGGCGGGCATCTGCACCTTTCATCATTTTCATCATGTCGGGCATACTCATCATTGAGGCAGGGGTCTTCATCTCCATAACAGGTTCATTCATCTCGGGCTTTTTGTCCATTGATGCCATCATCATAGCCATCATTGCAGCTGACGGGAACTTGTCATCCATCATTGGAGTCATGGGTTCCATCATGTTCATCAGTGGCATCGGCATCATGATTCCAACCATCTGAGGAGGCTGTGAGCGAAAAAATAATAAAATACCGTTGTAATAGAAAGGGTAAGTTGACCAAATGTCCGGGTCAGCTAAGGTGAAATCAGATTCACTTCTTATATCGAGTTGTAATACCATTTGTGATAACTTACCTTGGGCTCGAGAGCTTTAACAAGGGCGTATCCTCCCAGTGCTTTCGTAGCTTTCTTCAAAACGAACCCTCGTGTTGAGAAAGTAAAAAGTACTAAAAGCAGTGCAACAATCACCGCTGGTATACCACCTAAGCCTTTCATGCTTAGTGCAGTTAATAAGGCGGCAGCGATGTTGGGTAGATCCTTGAAGACCGAGGAACTAATGTCTTGGCTACGGTTACGACCCACTTTTAAATATTCGATTGAACGTTGACTATTCTGCAGTGTTATTGGGGAAGGGTAAATGCTCTAAGATTTTTCGGGCCAACGCCGCTAGTCTGCATGATACGCTTGTGCGCCGTTTAGGAATCTCCCTTGATGTCTCATTCGTTGTCGATCATCAAATTCCGTCACAAATGGATGAATTTTGCTTGGCTTACGTTTTTTAGCTCCCCTTCTATAGGATCAGTGATGCAATACGTAATGGAAGTCAACTCTGCCTGTATTGATTACCATCATTCGAAATCACATATCGTAAAAACATCACACACGAGCAGTTGGAAAACACACGTCGCTTCTTAATAAGCATGGTACGTGGACGTGTTGCCGCCAAAACAATCTTCGGTGAACACCGTCAATGGTTAGAATTTCAAAATACCGACAAATCAATATCTTTGACAGAAACCTATTTTGCCACTTCATGATAACAAGACTACATACGCTATGTTTCATCAAGGCCTAGAATAGATGATCTTTTAACAAAGGACAAGCGTTCCTAGACTGTTTTTCTCGCCAGTGTCGCCGTTGGGCAGCGATGATGGCTCCCAGCAAGAAACGAAGTCTATCTGTCTAACCACGGCCGGATTCGAACCTAGACCACAACGTATCGTTAAAATTAGCAAGAAAGTACGTTATAAACTAAATTATCACGGCGACTACTTGAGATACCCTATTGAAATTTTGCTCTCCGGTAGCACATTCGTACGATTCAAGCGTACGTCACGATGTTGATACTTATTAATGATCACATACATTTTATTGGAACGTGCTCATAAATCGGAATTGCTCTCTCCGTCGTAAGTAATGATGTTTTAGAGAATGTCAACTAAACACTTCGCTAAAACCTATCTGGACCTTTTCTTTTCTTCATTTCTATGCCAACTGTCATTGATCGAAAAGGAATATAATTAATTATAACTAGACGTTTCATCCTAACACAGACGCTACTTCGTATGATGCAGCTGCTTATGTGGTCGTATATGTAAATAGCTAGGAAATCGGAGCCTGACATGATTGTTTTCCCTGTGTTTTCATAAAAGTTGCTTTCAATTTAATGGTGCGGGTAAATGCTTCGTTTTGCTGAGTGAGATTCGTACGCTGAAGGATAGAATTCTTCAAAGGGGCTGAAACGGACATCACAACTATTGCTCTAGTAGTAGCTAGCATTATTATCTGCCATCTTGGCTTGATGCTCAACCGTTGAAGTTAAGCGTCCGTAAACTCCAGATGGGTAGGGAAACTGTGTTGCTCAAATTCTGCTTCGTCTCAAGTGCGTTCGCCCGCAGCCGGATTCGTTCGGGTAGCTCGACGCGGCAATCGCCACCTTTCCTACCGAGGCTCGCTTCGAGGCAGAGAAAATTCTCAAAAAAATAGGTCGCAAGATGAGTTTGTTTGCCTTCTAGGTCCTTCCTAAAAATAGGCTAAATATTTAACAATAATATTTCCGACTCTGCCACTGTAGCCTCCCAAACCTTCGCGCCTCTCATTTCCAACTTCTCTGGCCGCCACCATCGCTCTCATCGTGATTGGTAGCGGCAGGAGTTGAACAGCCGAAAAGCTACTAGATAGAGCCCTATACAGGACACCCACCCACTCACTCACGGCACAGTACGGGTTAAAGGACTATGGAGGAAGAGGAGACCGAGGTTGTGGCAGGAAAATCGTAAGACATTTGTGAACGCCGATTCACCCAACGTTCACTAGTGCGCTAGCGGCGCTTCTATTGTTTGCTTCGCTTATTGGTGCAGTAGCTGCTGTCTAGCAAGGCGGACTGAACAAGCGTTGGTGCGGACAGCTGCCTCTGTGGGTGTCTCTTTTGTGTCGCCGTCATCGTCGTTGTTGCTGCCGTCACTGGTGGCAACGGTAAAACTCCATGAAGCCAAGACTATTTCACTTTGGTTTCGTCTCTTCTATCTGTATATGTCTCTCTGCTGCAATTTTGCTGCCGCTGCGGCCTTTCGTTTTCTCCCGGTATCCTGATCCTGATGACTTGGTTGTTCTGATTGTCGGCCTCGCTCTGCTTCCAGCATCTATTGCCCTGTACTGTATGTCTACATAGCTCTTCACCGCCGTTCTCTTTTTTCTTGCACACTCCCACCACGCACTCACTAGTTTGCCTGCCTGCCTGCCTGCCTGCTTCGTTCGTTCTCGAAACACTAAGCCTGCTATCACGCTACTCTTACGGTGTTGTGATCTGCTTCGGCGAAAACGACGAGAAGCTGAACGGAGCGCAGCTAGCAGTTCACCGAGAGAAAATGCGGGAAGTCGACGGAGAGTGACTGCGGGTGGGCTGGACTGGAACCGCCCGTTGTTGTTGGTCGAAATAAAGGGATCGTGCCATAAGGATCGCGTAGAGGGATCGACGCCTAGGAGAAAAGTGGGAGCCGCTGATAGAGTCTTGTTCTGGAGCTGCCGTATCGGTAAGAACTGGAGCAGAGCGGGAGAACCGGACGGCAACGAGCCGAGGTAACTAGAGGGGACCAAGCGCCGAGGAAATACTGGAGAGGGGTTGGGGAGAGGATCAACAGAGGCAGTTTCAAAATGCCGTAAACTCTGCTGGCGAGAAGATGCTATAACAACGGTAATACTGCCAGCTCCTTTCTGAGATGGTGCAACGATCGATAGGTTGAAGAAATCGGTCGGAAGATTTATTCTTAACCATTGATACATAAAGGTATACGCTATGTGTATAACGTTTGTACAATGAACTTCAACTAGCCCGTATCAACAATTTGGCGTTAACAAGTAGCTTTTTTGAAGCCATCTGAAAGACTTCTAATTGTTTCTAGAGCAAATAATGTTTACAAGCGGTAGGACCATAGCGTGCTTCTATACTTCGTGACGCAATGAGAAACCGTTCAATATTTGAACGCTTCCAGGATAGCCAGTTTGTCAAGTATTTATTGTGATACTGTATCTAGTACTTTGAAATAAATTATCAAAGAAATTGATTTAATAGAAGACAGCAACCTTCGGTTGAGATTAGGAAGCTCGTTAACCGTTTAGGTAAGTTAAAGCTACAGGAAATTGAGTTCCGGATGCCTCGTGGAGGTTTCGAGGTCAATTTTGTGTTCTTTTTTTCTTTCCTTCATTCTTGTATTTCTTCTGAAATTTGTTGACGTGTTGCAATCTGAAATCATTTTCAGACAATAGGCCAAAAAAAATCGCATAGTATTGCCATTAACGGACAATTGGTCTCGCATACGCTGAAGACAACGTAGCTTTCCGACCGCCACTGAACGTGTCACCTATTCCTAAACACTTCACATAGCCGCAGTTTCAAATAGATATTTATTGAACGGGTTTTTCTATTAAAGTTTGCGGGCCACGATTGAAGTTTGCTGGAAAAGCAAGAAAATCGTGGTCGCCAACGGGACGGATCTATTTTAGCGTGAGTTTAGAATCCCTCCATCAAAGTCTTCTTTCTACAGGTACCACGGCTAAATCGACTTGTTAGAGCGAATCTGCCTATAACCGGTTGGACTATAATGAGATATACATAACCTAAATGCGCCCTTATTTCTAAAAGACAACTTACTTATACGATAACAAGCAAAAAAATCACAGCATATAAAAAACCTGTGGTGTTCTATACATTTAACCGTAATGTATGTGCTATTGTGAAATCGACCGAGCGATTTATTGCAAACGTCCAGGGCCAGATAGACCCAACTGTTATAGTTCGCTTCGACCGATTCCATAATGTCTATTGAATTGTTTAGAAAATTTTGTTAATATTCTATACAATTTTGTTAATATTCTATATATATTCTGCGTTAGAGCTTATTTTCGATAAAATCTATTTACTTTCATTTTAAGGCCTTGTTGTAAATGTGTTTGAAATCGAAGTGCTTTTAGTTAAGCTGGTTTGGTTGACGTTTCGATTGACCTGAACGACACGGATCCAATCTCATCGCGGCACCTACAACAGGTGTTTTGACGCTCGTATGGCCAGAATCTCTTGTCCGGCGTCTATTCCAGTGTCTGTATGCCATCCAAGGTGCATCGTGGCCCTAACATTTCGCTGCGACCGATATGGCGCCTGGAGGGTATATAAGAATTCGACTGAGACGTTCATCAAATCAAAAGGTACGGCCTACCACAAAGCGCGAATGTCTATGTGACTGGAAAAAAGCAAAGAGTTGGACGTACTTCCTAAGCGTAATCACTGGTCCCTACGCCTACAGGACTCCTTACGCCAGTGTCGAGATCCACTGTTGTACGAATACAGCTATCGCATTTCTACCGTGACGTTATTTCCAGTCTTCGTAGGTAACCAATAATCTTTATCAAGAGACATTTTAACGTCTACCAGGATGCAAGACCCAAAATTCCAGAACGCGATATTGGCCGAAGGATCTCGAATCAGGTCGACTATTCTATATCTATTCTGATAGGATATGGGGCGTTTTTGCGTGAGTATAGTCGATCCTATTAGCGGAAATAAGTACATAAGTAAATAAATAAACGCAGTAACCGATCCCGATCGTAGATATGCAGAGGGCGACTCGGACAGGGCAATGGTTTCATTCAGCGTTCTTGGAAACTTAATGAACTAAGTTAATTAACTAACGTAATACGACAGGTCTAAAAATAGCAACACTTACTGATATATCTCTGTGACGCTTACTGACTAATCCGATAAGTCTAACGAATTTACAATCTTTGGCATAGTATTTACTAGATCAGGTGGAACCATCAGCGTTTGATAGACATTTGTACAGACTCGGTGTTAAAAAAAATGTAATTTTCACAAGCATCAAATAGAAGTTATACGTTCTACTTGATGACCCCTGCAGAGATGTACCTTTTTGTCTATGGCTACCTTTTGATGATTTAATTGATAGTGTATGTTTTCTAATATGCCTTAGTTATTTGGCTGTAACAAGCTCTGGCGAATTCCAGTCGCCCGAAATGGGTTTCAATCATAG